CAGAGGAGAGGAGAGGTGGTAAGGAAATTCTTGTTGGGGGCGGGGGGATACAAATACTACTAATGTATTTTGAATCTTTGCTTTAGATTGTTGAGGAAAAAAGGAGGGGGGGGGAATTCTTATATCCCTGCCAGTTGCAGTTCAATAGGGTCTATTGAACAAGTGGGTGAGTGGTTTGGAAATACTCCTTATGTTGTCTGTGCTCCCTTTTTCTTCTCTTGGATGTGACTGTTATCATCCCTGGAGAAATGGCAGTGAATCCGGCTGACTCGCGATAATTAATCTACTTCTGAATTTGATCGACAAAGAAAACGAGGGAATTGTAATGAACTATGTTTACATTGTTTCTGCAGGTTAAGCATAGACAGAATCAAGTGACTTTGGTTAAGGTTCGAAATCCTCACGGAGATCACAAAGAATGGAACGGCAGATGGAATGAACGGTGAGACACATAGTATGCTGCTGCTTATTTTGTGCTCTATGGTGATGCTATATTTGCTGTTATGACGTGTTTTCCTCCAGTTTGAAACGTGTCTGAAACAGTTTTTTTTAAAAATTCGACTAATGGGTCGGCTATTATCTGATAAACTAAGATTTCACTTTAATTTCAAAACAATTTTATGCCTCCAAAAACGAAGGTTCCTCTTGGATATGGAATAGATAGAATGTTGACTGTTTCGTGGCTCCCTGAAGCAGAAAGAAGTTAAAACTTTCACTAATGTGAACAAACATTTTTCAGAAATCTTGACACCCTACTCTGCACTCCAGCACTATCATTCAAATCATTAGGAAATATGAATCCGTAGAACAGAAGTTAAAAATTAACTAGATAAGGTCAACAGCGAAAGGTCAAATGTTATGCCGTTTTACAGATGAGATCGTTCCGGAGAACACCGTCTAAACACAAAGCTGGTGCTTCAATAAATACATCTTTTTATGGTTCAGTTTGGGCACAGGATAAAGTGATAACCTGATGAAATACTTGTTGATTTACTCTATTCTGTCAAGGTCACAAGAGTGGCTGCAGATCTCTCCCAGTGAAAGAGAACAACTTGTGGTCAGTAGACCAGATGGAGAATTTTGGTAAGTTTTTCACTCCACTGTCTGCTGCTCTTAAAATATATCGGGTGTGGGGATGTAAAATACCATCAGAGCTATCCCCCAACGACCACCAGTCCAAGACCATGGCCTGCAGAAATGACCGTTTCCTCTCCCTCCCCCCACCCTTTTGCGTTTTTTTCCCTCTATAATTATGGTACTTCCTAAGACAACCACATGACAAAGAGGACCACGACCCTCCTCGCCAATGGCGATTGTCTAGGGCAGGTTCTACTGTTGTTTGATGTCTCACTAAGTAGACCTGCAACGTAGTACAGCTCTTTCCTGCTGATCTGTCAACCGAGGATTTGCTCTAGTTAAATGTTGACCCCCCC